TCTAGATCCAGCCCACATTGACTCTTATCTACCACCAACTCCCTTTGATTGTTAGATTCAGATTTTTATAGAGCACTTTAGCAACAAATAAACCTATATATTAATTTGAATTGCCTGGACTCCTGATTTCCTGCACTTGACTGGTCCATCCCTTTATTGATAGTTTTTTAAGTGACAGCTGAAAATTTTCCACATTTGGAAAGTATGCCACACTTACTATTTTCACAATAGAAAGCATATGGGAAGATATGTGTAATATTTTATGGAGTATACATAGAATAGCTGGGGTAGCTTCAAGCAAATATTATTCAGTCCTAAGAAAAAGAAAAAATGAGAAAGAAATATGACGTTTACAGAGTTAGAATTTGCAGATTTAGAACTGAGTCTATTCCACACATCTCTCTGAAGTTCAAAACTGCATTCTTTTACAATAGCAGAAACCTGACTGAGTGACAATTGATAAATTGGCTTTCCTAGGAAGATCAAAGAAGATTGGGGAATGGATTTATCACATTTAATTGCAAAATAATTCTAACTGGATTTTGGGGGGAACATAGACCAACTTTGGAGATTGGACTTATTATATTAACCAGAGAACAATTGATAAGAAATTGTATTAAAAATAGCCTCAACATTAATATACTAGGCATCAGTGAAGTTCATTGGACTGGCTGTGGCTTCTTCAACTCATATTGTATACAACTCTGGTAATCAAACCATAAGAATAAGAGACATGGGTTTCATACTGCATTAAATAGTGGGCAGAACCATAGAAAGTTTTTGAACAATCAGTAATAGGATAATGGCAATATAGATCAATGGAAAACCTTGCAACATGACAGTTCTGCGAATTGACACTCCTACTACACTGACTCAGCAATAGAGAACATCAAAGAATTCTATGCTGAAATTCAGGAAACTCTGTAACAAACACCAAAGAAAGCCATTATTTATATTAATGGAGATTTCAGTGCTGAAGTGGAAGAAATGGAGGAAACAGGGATCACAGACAAGTTTGGCCTTGATGAACAAAATGAGGCAGGAGAACATCTGATTCAGCTATATCACAAACAATAGCTAAGCACAATGAGCATATGGTTTGAATAACTCAAGCAGTGTTTATATACATGGTCTTCAATAAATGGAGAACATTAAAAACAAATTGACTACATATTGTGCAAAAATAGTGGGAAAGTACCATCCTTGCTGTGAAAACGTTCTCTGATGCAGGTTGAGGGTCAGACCATGAACTGTTAGCTGTCAAGGTAAAGTTTAGGTGTTGCAATGTCAAACAACCACCCATGATTCAGAAATTTGACATCAAGAAGATTCACCCAGCATATGCAGTTGAAGATAAGAACAGATTTGAACAAAAGACAACCAGATGAGCTACATGAGAAAATAAAAACAATTGTCACTGAAGTAGCCCACAAACATATTACATACAAGAAATCAAGGAAATTGGCCAAATTGTATCAGAAGCTACAATAGAGGCTGCAGAAGAAAGAAGGAAAGCAAAAGCCATTGGTGGCAGGAAAGAAATACAAAGATTAAAAGCAAAGTTCCAAAGAGAGGCAAAATAAAATAAAGAAAAGTACTGGACTGAGCAATGTCAGAAACTGGAGGAAGCAGCCATTAGAGGTCATACATGTAAAGAAAGTCAGAAATCCCTTTATGGCAAGAAAAGCTATGATCAGAGGATGTGATGGGCAGGAATTGCATGACCAACAAGCAATCAGAGAAAGTTGGCAGGAATATACAGAAAAACTTTACATAAATGAAAAAAAAGTCCAAGCCATAAAAGGGAAAGGTGACCTATCAGAAACAGAATCAGATATCCTGGAGGAGGAAGTAACATCTAAGAGTAGGACTAGAAGGACTAGAAGACCTCCAAGGTCCCTTCCAGCTCTATTCTATTCATAGAACAGAAATAGAAATAGAAATAATAGAAATAGAAAGAAATAGAAATAGAAATAGAATAATAAAGACATCAGCCTCACAACCAAATGCAGAAGAGCTAATGCAATAATTTTTCCAGTTGCTACTTATGGATGTGAAACTTGGATTCTGAAAAAGGCAAATAGAAGAGTGGATGCCATTGAACTGTGGTGCTGTAGGTGACTATTAAGCATCCCATGGACTGCAAAAAAAAAAAAAGTCCTATACCGAACCTCACCCAAAATATCACTTGAAGCCAAGACAGGGGCTGTCATATTTTGGTCATGTCATGACAGTTGATTCATTCAAAAAGTCAATCATGCTGGGAGTGATCAGCAGAAAAAGGAGAAGGGCCTGCCCTTGTACCCACTGGCTGGGCATATAAAGGATGAGACAAGGATAACTATGGCGGATCTGAAGGAGGTGGTGCAAGACAGAGGGGCATGGAGAGTGTTGATCCGTGGAGTGGCCGACAGTCTGATACAACTTAATTGCTGACGATGACGACAATGGTATTAAGAAACAAATGTGGATATTTGATCCAGGATGAATCAGTGTTATCTTTTGGAATAACTGGACATAGATAAGATGTCATGGTGAGTTTTTTTATGAGTTGATTACAATAACAGTTTGTTAATAGAGGTTTTTGAAACTTTAATCTTGCTCTTCTAATTATTATTCTTCCTATTAACTATATGGTCATTAATATAGTACAAAGATGTCAGGCTAATAATTTGCAAATAGATTTAGTAGTTTAAAAAAAATGGGGCATGTTCTCAAGGGGTCAGAAACTAATATTGTTGTGATATATTAATCAGTATTCAACTGGGTGTATAATAAGTGTGTATTGGTTAGATTTTTTAAAAAAATATCTTTTATGTTTGTTGGTTTTTTCCTCTGGTGATTGTTGATTTTTTTTTAAAGAAAAGGTTTTTTTGAAGTTTTGTATTTGTGTTTCAACTTTTTAAAAAGTAAAATAAAAATATAAAAAAGAAACAGTAATCAAATTAATTAATTCCAGTTATACCAAAAAAGGACCTTTCCCCTGGCAGACAGCTTACCACATTCCAGTGCCTATGCTACAATGTTTTTCTAGAAAACCATTTATGCTTTCCATAAAGGGGGTCAGCGATTGTGAAAACTTGTTTCTAAGGTCCATAAAGATGACATTCCCTGAGCCAGGCCACTGGGCATCATAGTGAATACAGTCACCAAATTTCAACCCATGTGTTACCAGCAGTGTTTCAGTAAGCTAGTGTATAGCTCATTCAAACTAGATCAAAATAACTATTCACATATTTCACACGAGCACATATTCACATATTTCACACAAGCACATATTTTAATTTATTGACATGTTAATTCTTGTCAATATTGAGTATGTTTACTCAAAAGTAAGGCTTTCTGAATTCAGTGGTATTAACCAATAAGAAATAGTGTACATATTTATGTAAACACTAGGATGTAACTTTTGAGCTTTGAGAATTTGGGTTACCTTTGACATTTGCTGAATTGGGACCAGCTTCATAGTATTGTTTTCATAATAATTACATTAGCAATTTTTATCTGAGAACCAGCTTATGTAGTGGTTAAGAATCAGGCTAAAAATTGGGAATCTGCGAGATCTAGTCCTCTCTCAGACATGAAGCCATCTGGGTGACCTTGAACCGGTTATTCTGTGTCAGCCTTGGGAAGACAGCAAAGGCAAACCACTTCCTAAAAATATCTTGCTAAGAGTACTGCAGGGACTAATCCAGGCAGTTGCTATGAGTTAACATGACTTGAAACCTTTAAGTCAACATGACTTGAAACCTTTAAGTCAACATGACTTGAAACCACAAAAATCATCATCATCATCAATCTAATTATCAAGTTTAGCCAGGGCTTTTTTTGTCATAGAACGCCCAGAACGGAGTTCCGGCACCTTTTTTGAATGGAACCTTGTAGGATAGGCAAGGCGGGTTGTATGACATGTGTGAGTTCCGGCATCTTTTTTTTTTTTAACAAAAAAAGCACAGAGTTTAGCTAATAGTTTCATGGTACTAGAATCTATGCTTGCCAGTTTATACTCTGTTACTTTCTCCAGTTTTCCTTTTATGACCTCCAGTTCCAATCCTGCCAGTATCATCTTTCAAAGAAAGGAGACAACAACAACAACAACAACAACAACAACAACAACAACAACAACAATAATAATAATAATAATAATAATAATAATAATAATAATAATAACAACATTGGAAGGGACCTTGGAGGTCATTGAGTCCAACCCCCTGCTCAGGCAGGAAACCCTACACCATTTCAGACAAATGTCTGTCAAGTCTTTTCTTAAAAACTTCCAGTGTTGGAGTATTCACCCCTTCTGAAGGCAGATTGTTCCATTGATAAATTGTTCTAACTGTCAGGAAGTTTCTCCTTAGTTCTAGGTTGCTTCTCTCCTTGATTAGTTTCCATCCATTGCTTCTTGTCCTGCCCTCAGGCACTTTGGAGAATAGCTTGACTCCCTCTTCTTTATGGCAGTCCCTGAGATATTGGAACACTGCTATCATGTCCCCCCTCGTCCTTCTCTTCATTAAACTAGACATACCCAATTCCAGCAACCTTTCCTCATATGTTTTAGCCTCCAATCCCCTAATCATCTTTGTTGCTCTTCTCTACTCTTTCTAGAGTCTCAGCATCTTTTTTACATCATGGTGACCAAAACTGGATGCAGTATTCCAAGTGTGGCCTTACCAAGGCATTGTAAAGTGGTATTAATACTTCACGTGATCTTGATTCTATCCCTCTGTTAATGCAGCCCAGCACTGAGCTGGCTTTTTTGGCAGCTGCAGCACACTGCTGGCTCATATTTAAGTGATTGTCCACTAGGACTCCGAGATCCCTCTCACAGTTACTACTATTGAGCAAGACACCCCCTATACTATATCTGTACATTTGGTTCCCCTTGCCCAAATGCAGAACCTTACTTTTTTCACCATTGAATTCTAATTTACAGACAAACTGCTAACCATTTCTGTGATCTTGTTCATCTCTGATCAGATTTTGATTTAATACCATTTCAGGGAAAGGTGAACAAGGAAAGCCATATCCTCTCACAGAAGAAGACGGTGATGATTCTGCTTATCGGGAAAATGGTTTCAATATTTTTGTAAGCAACAATATAGCCTTGGAGCGATCACTGCCAGACATTCGACATCCTAAGTAGGTACACTAAGTTATTATTACTTTCATGTAATATCTTTGTGTTTACTTTCTTATATAGAAGCATCTGAATCAATAGACAGTGAAAAATGGTGTAAAGCCGATAATGTTAGAGGTTTCTTCTTCTATTTACAGTCTTTATAATGCATAAGAAAAGACACTGCTTTTCTTATTTTCATTACAGACTGTGCTTGGCTATCTAATCCAAGGTAATTGTGAAATTTTTGTTCACACATAGTAATGGTAGAACATAGGAAATACTAGTAACATCCTAAGCCTATCTTTGACTGGGTTGAAATATACAAAGTTCTACTCTGGATTGAATAACAAAAGACACACATTAATCAAGTATGTTTATTGTCTCTCTGTTTAATAATTGTCCAGGAAGTCTAAGAAACTATTATTTTGATGTCCAATTGATTTAATTTATACTTCAAGGTGTGATCTGACTCAAATGTGTTTCAAATTATTCAATATCTAGATTACTGGGAAGTGTCACAGGGTCCACTGAATTTTCTGCATTTACCCATCTTTAGAAATGAAAGTAAATCTAAGGACAGATAAATGTAGAAAATTCAGAGGACCCTGTGACATTTTCCTAGCAATCTAGATGTTGAATACGTTCAAATTGATTTGAGTCAGATGTTGTTGGAATGCTATTGTTTGATTGGATAATATTTCCCAGAATTCTTCTTGAAATAATGACAAAAATCTGGTGGGGGTCTCCTCCTTGCTCGTTGCCCCTACAGGGTGACTTTCGACCCTTTCCAGGGTCCCCCAGCAGAACGAAATCGAACGTGAAGACAGAGCTCGCCTTCCAGCGGCTGCGGCCGCGATGGCAAACTGGAAGGCAGCTTGTGGTGATTCTTATACCACAGATATTGTAAAATTGCTGTGTGAGAAGACTGACCAGAATAACCAGAACAGGATTGTGAGTTTTTTGTAAATTAGAGGAATAGTGCTAATTTTATTTAAGTTAGTCTTCTTGTTAATTTAATTGCTAAGTGAAAATATTAAGTGGTCAAGCCCCTTGAAGGTCCCACCACTGCATAAAATCTTTAATATGAATGGGAACGGAGCAAGAACATAGCTCTGTTTTTATGTTTCTCCAATAGAGTTGCATCAAAAACTTTGCTTGTGGATTATACATGGAAGAACTTAGTATAACATTTATTTATACTGAGTTATGTTTAAGTATTCCAGTCTTCCTGGCACTTTCTTCACATTTTGGGACTTAACTTTCCAGAATTCCACCAGCATGAACAACAATTCTGGGAGTTGGGAAAGTATCAGGTTGGGAAAGATTGATCAAAGTTTTTATTTTCAGTTTTTAGAGATGCTTATCTAATTTTTAATATATCAAAAGTTATTTCAAGAAGAGAAAGCATGAAACATTGAAAAGCCATGTATTAATTTCTATCACTTTGTACAAGTTTCCAAATGATTAATTGAACAAATTAACAGCATTTTATCTGATCTATCAATTTTAAATATTTTGGTTTTGGCTGGGAAAATTAATTCAAATCACCTGAAGTTATCTACAGCAGTTCCTTTTGGCCAAGACTGCTTCCAGTTACATGGGATTCTATACATAATTATAGAGCATTGAAGTAGCATTATGTTGCATTGTTGCATTGTTGGCATGATAAGAAAGTGGTGCATAATAGCTTTTGCTATTTGTGTTCAAAACAGTGCCAAAGGAAACAATATGAAAAATTATTTGCGACACAGTGAAGCTGAACTGCCACTTTCTCCTATTGTGTTTGTTGAACTATTCTTGTAAATTTGATTTTTGCCAACTGATAGCCAGATGGCCATGACATTTCTTAAGAAACCTTAAAAATAAGGTGTTATCAGCACTGACTTATTGGGAGCATTAAAATTTTGGTTCTTGTTCTTCTATTATCATTTTTATTTCATGAACCTATGTACAGAATACAAAATAATAGAGTTGGAAGGGACCTTAGAGGTCTTCTAATCCAACCCTCTGCTCAAGCAAGACACCGTATGCCATTCCAGACCAGTGTTGTCAAGTCTCTTCTTAAAAGCCACCCATAATGAAGCACCCACAACGTCTGAATTGGTTAATTTTCTCCATAGGAAGAAATCTCTTCTTAGTTTTAGCTTCTGTGTCTTGCTAAGGCTGGTGTGTCAAACTCATAACGTCATGTTACGTGTCGCAATGTATCGTGACTTTTTTTCCATTGCTGGCAATGGGGTGGGCGTGGTTTCACCATAACGCATTCTGCCCACGGGCCGGCAATTTGACATCCTTGTGCTAAGGGCACTGTCATTGTCAGACAAGATCTGAATATGTAGGACAACTTCTAACTGGAACACAGGTCTATTCCTGTATTGTCTTATGTTTTGGTTTATTTTATTTTATATTATTTGTTCTAATAAGAGTTTGATATTAGGTGGATCAAAATATTGTGCAAATTTAGCTTCTGCAGTCCTGTGTACAATATTTTGATGAAGGCTATATGTTTGGGGCCATTGTCCTGCTACAAAATAAATTTGGAGCCAATCACACACTTCCCTGGCATGATGGATGAGTATCTACCTGTATTTCTCAGCATTAAGGACACCATTGTTCCTTATCAACTCTAACTCCATTTGCAGAAATGCAGCCCCAAACTTGCAAGGAACCTCCATCATGCTTCACTGTTGCCTGCAGACACTCATTATTGTACAGCTCTCTAGCCCTTCAGCAAACAAACTGCCTCCTGCTACAAACAAATATTTTTTCTGCACCCCAGTTCCTATGTTTTCATGCATAGTTGAGATGCTTAACCTTGTTTCCACATTGGAGGTATGCTTTTTGGCCACAATTCTTCCATGAAGACCACTTCTGGCCAGACTTCTCCAGACAGTACATGGGTATGCCTGGGTTCCACTTTTTTCCACCAGTTCTGTGCTGATGGCACTGCTGGACATCTTCCAATGTTAAAGGGAAGTAAGCATGCATTAAGTTTTCTTGTCCACTGCTTCTATGGTCCTCAGTTTTGCCTGTTTCTTTGTGTTTTTTAAAAAGAGTTTGAACAGAACATTTTGAAATCCCAGTCTGCTTTGAAATTTTTGCCTTGGAGAGACCTTGCTGGTGCAGTATAACTGCCTTTTGTCTTGTTCCTGTGCTCAGTTTTGCCATGGTATATGACCTGTGACATGAAACTGTCTTCCACAACCTCACCTTAGTAGCAGAATTTGGCTGCTCCTCGCCCAGTTTTAAGTCTCTACATAGCTGTTTCTGTTTCAGTTAATGACTGTGTTTCAACTTACATATAAAATTGATGATCATTAGCACCTGCGTGGTATAATGTTTAATCATACACCTGACTCTAATCCTATAAAATCCCTGACTTTGTGCAAGTGTAAGAATTGATGCTGTTTTGAAGGCAAATAGTGGTCACCCCAAATATTGATTTGATGTGGATTTCTCTTCTGTTCATTTACTTTCCATTTTGTTACCTGATAAAAATAAATTAACATTTCTATTTCTGAAAGCATTCTTAATTTACAGCATTTTTGCACAATTGCCTAACACTTTCGCACAGTACTGTATATTTTCTGACACTTTATTTAAACTAAATTTGTATATCAGTGATTGCATGAAATCTGTAGATTCCATACATTAAATAAAATAAATAAATCTAAGATACATGGATGGAGGCAGTAGGTTAGCAGCCATATTATTAAAATATGACATTTTTACCCTGTTTGCATCATTTCTCTTCAAATATGGTTAGTATATGAAGAATCCATAAATTGTACATAGTTATTTAGATAAGTTGGCAGCTTCCGCGATCATTTTGATCACCGCATCTCTGCCAGAGGCTCCCAGTCTACCCTCGGTTGACTAGGTAGACCGGAGTCCTGTTGGCTTGAGTCTGACTCATTTTCCACCATGTCTGCAGATGAAGTTAAAAGTCTTATAGGAAATTATAGACACAGCTGATCCAGTGTCCAGTTCCATGGAGCATGGAATTCCTTGCAGCTTGACTTTTAGTCTAGGCTTTTCTTTTAGGGGGCGATAGGCTCCAGTTCTGAGGATGCTCCTTCTTCCGGAGCAAAATCCTACTCTATTCTGCCCCGGGACCCCATTACTTCTCCTGGGGAAGTCTTCGCGTGGCAATTCCCTCTGGTGACCTTTACAGATGGTAGCGATGTGGCCTTGTTTGCCACATGCTCAGCACACAGCTGTGCGAAACCGGCATTCTGAGTGCTGGTGTCGTCCATCACAGCCAAGACAGCTAGGGAAGGGAACTGCCTTGTCAAGCAGCCTCTGCCTTCTTTCTGGGATCTTCTGCACCCAGTCGATCTCAATGTCTATGTCTGGGTCTTCTGTTCTTTCTGATTCTTCATGATGCACAGCCGTCTGGCTGGGAAAATTCTTTGAAGGATGTAAAGCCTTGACGGCTCCACCTGTGGCTTCTTCTGCCATCACTTCTTTCAGTGCGTCCTGGAATGTCAGGGATTCTTTAGTGAACAGCCTTGGCTGTAAGTCTCTGCTTCTCAAGCCACATACCAGTCAGTCCCGGAGCCGGTCCTCTAGGTCGGGAAACTTGCATAACCAGGATGCTTGGCGTAGGGCGGCCACAGATTCAGCAATGGTTTTACCTGGCTGCTGTTCTCTCTGCTCGAACACGTGTCTGTATGCAATCATTGACAGTCTAGGTTCGAAGTGCTCTTTGAGTCTTCGTTTCAAGTCAGCGAAGGTGACTGACTCCAATGTAGCAGGAGCGATTAGGTTCTCCGCTATATCAAAGGTGGCTTGGCCACACACGCACAACAAAGTTGCAGCTTTTAAATTATCTTCTCTGACTTGGTTTGCTCTGAAGTAGTTTTCTACTCTTGAGACGTATGAACTCCATCTTTCGGGGTGCGTCACGTTGAACTCTGAAAGCTTGCCAACTTTGGCCATGGCTTGGCTGTTACTGCGTCTCCAATGTCTTATGCTGCTAGGGCTTCTGTGATTTTCCTAGGGACGGGTCCCAAGGAAT